GAATGTCATTAATAGCTCAGCAGCCTATTAGTATCCCCTCTGTATGAAGGCATGTGGGATTCATAGAGAACAAGCAGGGACCTGTGGTAGTTTGATCTCACAGACACCATCCCTTCTAAAATAAAGTAAAATGCTTAATCAAACCACAGGCCTTGATGCCGCCTCATTTCTGCAGACCCATACCCCAGGCATATGGGTTTGTCTCATTTTTAGATACACATAATAAAATGGTCATTCTGAAAGTTCATTCATGTGGGCTTGATACAACTGCTGACACAGTGGGCTTGTATTCTTTTAGAACATGGGGCACAGTGGGTGTTTGCAACAGGCCCTATTTGCTAGTCAGCTTTCACAATGGATCACAGTCTAAGTCCTTTCACCCCAGGCTTCAAAATTGAAACATGAACCCTCTGAGAAATCTTTCATGTATTTCCTTTAAACTAGGCTGCAAAAATAATGAGCAATTAGCTCTTGTAATGATGCACTGCTGTTTAGATGAACGACTTGTAGATAATTCAAGTAGCCCATTTGGATCCTGGAGAAAAGAAAAGAAGTCTACCTAGGATGAGCCTTCCTATTTAGTCTTCAAAGTCCTAGGTTGCTCACCACCAAGCTGAGCTTCTGAATAAAATGGTTGCTTTTAGCCTCTATAAAATGTTGGCACCCTGTCAGAATCATGTTTTTCAAGTTTCATTTCCTAGTGCCAAATTTTCATGCTATATAACTTTTTAGGTAGCCTCCAAGAAAAGTTAAAGCTTTAATATCAAAAACTGTCTTCCTTTTCTACAGATTTAGTTTGATTAAACAGTTTTGTAGCTTTTACAGTATGTAGGATTCTCATTAAAAATATTGAAACTCAACCCTTGATCCCTTTCTTTGAAAGCTAGTCAAGGGCATGTCTGTAAGCTGATTATTTTTGTTTGTGTGTTGGTTTTCCTACCAACAGGAAAAAAACCCCACAACAGATCTAGATCATATTAGATTTAATACATCTAAAATATCTGAAACACCTTTTCCCAGTTCATATAGTTTGGTAATCTATATTAATGAATCAAGTTACTTTGAATTATTTTTCCATTTTGTAAATGGTGGGAACTCTTCTAGAAAGCTCTAAAATTCCAATATTAATATTTAACCAGTTTAAAATCTCATAGGGAAAATATTTTTCAGGCACAAACACTCATATTTTATTACCAGAAACCAGTTCCTTATGGTGAGTAATGATTTTCCATCTTTAATGTTAGATAAATAGTGCTTCAAAATAAGGTCTTACAACAAAAGGGCAAAGAGTTAACAATACTTTCTCTACTGACTGTGTAACTTCTTCAGATTACTTAACCTCTTTAAGTTACATAATTTTTCAAAAACTTTATTGAACTTGGTGAAGCAACTTTATTGAAATTGCACCCATGTGCAATTATTTATTAACACCTTGGATCAGATTAGATTATCAGATTCCTAAGACTATTATAGAAAAAATAAAATGGGACACTGATAAGAACATTTTAAAGGAAAAAGGAAAAAAAATACCTAGAACATATGGCATAAGAGACCACCACCTAATAACGTACTCTAATAAATTATTTGTAACTAGAAATCAGAGGCTTTCATGAGACACCAGTCTTCTTTTCATCAGAACCTATGTTTTTTCATCTTTATCTAACACATGATACATCCTTCAATTCCTAGCACCTAGCATTTAGCAAGAGTTCAAACTTTACTAAATAAAAATTCATGGCATTTGGTTTCTGGAGTCATGAGTACACGGAGTAACATCAGGATATAGAAAGTAGAATAAGATGCTATAGACAAAGGGTTTTCCTATATTTTTTCCATCATATTCTTTCATAGATAAGTTCTGATGTATGGCTTCCTTTCTGTGAGTGTATAAAAGCCTGTCTTTAATATCTGCAAAATTATCTCTAGAATCTTATTCTGCTTGAACTAGAAACCATTTGCTGATGGCAGCAAAATATCCAGGGCAAAGTCCTCTTTGAAGCCCTGTACTACCCCAGGACAGTAGGGAAGGCAAAATCAAGAAATGTTAATGGCTCAGTGATACAAAGTAGGAATTGGAGGACAGAAGTTCCCTACGTACCAGACTCTTATGTTTTTTGTAAATCTATTTTATCCTCTCCAGGTAATGATTCAGTATGAATGACATAATTTAGATTTCTGCAAAGCAGGAATGTATCTCTAGCGAAGGATTAAGGACTAAGAAAATTAGAAACACTCCAGAAGCTGAAGAGGCTGGGAAGTTAATACATGGCTAGTAATGGAGAGAGCAGAACAAAGGGCCTGGGGGGATTATGAGTCTAAAGACCACTTCATCAAAAATTTGAAGTGAGGAAAATCTATCAAGTAAGAAAGCAACAGAACGGTTTATTTAGCTCACAAAACAGACTTTAGATGATTCTTATTGAGACTTTCTAAGCAAAAAACTTGTAGCGAGGACACAGCAAAAACTGTACACATGAGGAATCAAACAGAATAGTAAATCCACCATTTTTCTGCATGGCAGGGCTTTAATGTCAGAAAAGTTCCTGACAAAGAGGATACAAGGCCCACAGGCTCCTTTTTCTGCCCCTAGTAATGATCTCATGCATTCCAGAGCTACAGGCGCTTAGAAGCATAGAATGCTTACACCTGGAAAATAACTTTCTGGGTTATCTAAGTTTTAAGTAGTGCATATCTTTCTTATGTTAGCTGTGTTTGTTGGTGTCAAAATATTCATTTTTAAAACCAAGTTGCCTGAGCAGTTTCAGTGCTATTTCCATCCAACTGTGTACAAAAATTTTAAATATTTTTTGTTTCTGTTTAATAATTTTAGCAAAGCAGCCACTTGAATGCTTCATTTATCTAACCTTAAACTCTTTAGAGTGAGCAGGCAAGGAGCTGGACAGTGGCTAGCCCGACTGTTACAAAAGGCAGCTTCTCTGTGGAGCTCCGACTCTTCAATCTCCCTGATACCCTGTGATCCAAACCTTGTTCCTGCTCCAATGGAGTTCCAATTCAAATGGGAACATATAGCACTAAAACTATGAAATTATGGCAGAAAAAAACATAAATGGATAAAGCATCTCATAAATTTCTATTGTTTTCTATTGTAAACAGTGCTGCAACAAACAAACAGTGCTGCATGTGTGTTTATAATAGAACGATTTATAATCCTTTGGATATATACCCAGTAATGGGATTCCTGGGTCAAATGTTATTTCTATGTCTAGATCCTTGAGGAATTGCCTCACTGTCTTCCACAATGGTTGAACTAATCTGCACACCCACCAAGAGTGTAAAATTGTTCCTATTTCTCCACATCCTCTCCAGCATCTGTTCCCTCTGGATTTTTTGATGATCGCCATTCTAACTGGCCTGAGATATCTCAATGTGGTTTTGATTTGCCTTTCTCTAACGACCAGTGATAATGAGCATTTTTTAATATGTTTGTTGGCCTCATACATGTCTTTTTTTGAAAATGTCTCTTCATATCCTTTGCCCACTTTTGAATGGGTTTGTTTTTTTCTTGTAAATAGTTCTTTGTAGATTCTAGATAAGACCTGAAACCAACCCAATGCCCATCAGTGATAGACTGGACAAGGAAAATGTGGCACATATGCATCATAGAATACTATGCAGCCATAAAAAGGGATGAGTTTGTGTCCTTTGTAGGGACATGGATGAATCTGGAAAGCATCATTTTCAGCAAACTGACACAAGAACAGAAAATCAAACAATGCACGTTCTCACTCATAGGTGAGTGTTGAACAATGAGAACACATAGACACAAGGAGGGGAGTCTGTTGAGGGGGGCTGGGGGGGAGAGTGGGGGGTGGGGAGGTTGGGGAGTGATAACATTGGGGGAAATGCCAGATATAGGTGATGGGGGGATGGAGGCAGCAAACCACCTTGCCATGTATGTACCTACGCAACAATCCTGCATAATCTGCACATGTACCCCAGAACCTAAAGTACAACAAAAAAAATTTCTATTGTTTTCTACATTTCCAGAGGACCAAATGAGTAAGAGAGAATTAAACTTTGAATGCTTTTCCATTTTATCTTTCGCTGAACTACACACTTAGACAATATTTTGAGGGGAATGAAAGTATAAAACTTTTTTTTTTTGAGACAGAGCTTCACTTTGTTGCCCAGGCTGGAATGCAGAGTCGGGATCTCAGCTCACTGCAATCTCTGCCTCTCGTGTTCAAGCAATTCTCTTGTCTCAGCCTCCTGAGTAGTTGGCATTACAGGCATGCACCACCATGCCTGGATAATTCTTTGCATTTTTAGTAGAGACAGGGTTTCACCATACTGGCCAGTCTGGTCTCAAACTCCTGACCTTGTGATCATCTTGTTTTGACCTCCCAAAGTGCTGGGATTACAGATGTGAGCCACTGCGCCCAGCCAAAATGTGCTCTTACACCCTACCCTTGAACCTTGCTTTTGCTGAACTCTGATCATTTACTTTTCACCTGTCTTTGACCATCTCACCTAAGATCCTACATTCCTATTGAATCTCATATAAAAAAAATGTATTTCAAATATGAATACTTTGCCTGACAACTGAGCCACACCAAGTATTTTTTTCCTTTATTTCTTCATATATAGACAAGAAAACAATAATGGTGATATGATAAAGGTGGTATCTTGGGGATGATACCTTTAAAATTACATTCACAGAAAAGGATTTAGAAAAAAGTCTCATTTTATTTTATTAAAATTATTATTAATCTTTCTCCATTTAATTAGAGTCCGTCATAAAATGGAAGCCATCTGAACTTGGAGAGGACTACCTGGAAAGGGAAATCATTTTCCAACTACCATTGAAGGCATATTCTATAAGCTCAATTATTGGAAATTTTCTTTAAAAGAAAACTTACAGTCTAAGTCAATCAAATTTCTCTAATTGCCTCCTCAAAGATCTCTACTAGCAACAGATGAAAAAGAAAACAGATGAAGTTGACATATTAAAAAGAGAAATGTCTGTTTTGTCTTTTCAGATCTGCTTTCGACGATTTCACATTGAGTACTGTTTCACTTTGAGAGCAAGTTTCTAAAATGGTAGGTGTGACATTGAGACACTGTAGGAGCTGACTGAGGACAAAGACTGTACAACATAGAATTTTTCTTTTTTTCATTTTTCTGCCAGTCTGAAGTCAGATTGACCTTTATTCCCTCTGGCTTTTACCCTTAAACTTTTGTGTCTCGTTAAAGAAGTTGTTCTAATTTTAATGATTAAGGCTTTTTATAAAATTAAACATGTTTACAGGAAAGGGATCTTGAATTCCAAATGAGAATGTCTCAGACATACCTAAGGAGAAAGAGGTCAAATTTTTAAATCAGATTAGAATCATCCTATCTATCACAGTGTTCTCTTTATCTTTCTGCCCTGTTGTCCAGTTTCTAAGCAGAATGAGCTCTGCCTATTAAAATTCCTCCAAAGAGCATGGCAACAGGAACTTGATTAAAAATATTGGTTAAGATTCCAACTACACAAGGGGTACTAATTAGTAAAATATTCTTTATTTTAGTGTTGCACTATTCATACTTATTAATCCTCTTCAATATTTTATATTTTTATTTTTCTCTGTTCTATTGTTCTCACGAGGCTCTTATTTATTTGCTAAATCATGTCCTTTTTATATTTTAGAACACCGGGAAATTCTGAGATATAAAAGACAAACACTCAGCTCATATGTCACTTTCTCTGGTTGGCTCTCTTCCCTTCTCTGATCACAGACTGGGAACAACAGTTGTTTGGCTCCTTGATAAGTACTTTCACTCATGACAAGGAGGTGGTTATTAGCAGAATTTTCCTCGTTGAAGTGCCTGGGCTTAACTTGTAGATTGCCCAATCTCAGGTTGTACTGTGTGACAGTGAGCAAAGAATCCATTTATCTCCATCTGTCTTCATTACTAATTTATGTGTCATAATAATAAAGAGTATCTCACAGTGATGCTGTGAAAATGAGCTAAGATATTCTAATTAAAGCACTTAGTGTAGTGTGTGGCACCTATGAAATACTTGAAACTGGATTTTGTTAATTAGTTTGAAGTTTGGGTAAATGGTGTTGATCCAGATTTGGAGGGTCTCAAGTGCAGTGTGTGCTCTACAAATATATGATAAAACTAATGCATCTCAGGAGGTAGAGCAAGCCTAGAAAAGGAGGCCTTGGACAACCACCTGGTGCCCAAAGATATTCTTATATATATAAATATCTTATATATATAAAGGGGAGTATATATTTCTTTTTTTTTTTTTTTAAATTTTTTATTGGATTATAGGTTTTGGGGTACATGAGCAGAGCATGCAAGACAGTTGCGTAGGTACACATATGGCAGTGTGCTTTGCTTTGCTTCTCCCCTTCACCCACATTTGGCATTTCTCCCCAGGCTATCCCTCCCCACCTCCCCTTTCCACTGGCCCTCCCCTTTTCCCCCCAATAGACCCCAGTGTTTAGTACTCCCCTTTCTGTGTCCATGTGTTCTCATTTTTCATCACCCGCCTATGAGTGAGAATATGCGGTGTTTCATTTTCTGTTCTTGTGTCAGTTTGCTGAGGATGATGTTTTCCAGATTCATCCATGTCCCTAACACAACATACATACAACTATACAATCTTTGATAAACCTGACAAAAACAAGCAATGGGGCAAGGATTCCATGTTTAACAAATGGTGTTGGGAAAACTGGCTAGCCATGTGCAGAAAGCAGAAACTGGACCCCTTCCTGACACCTTACACTAAAATTAACTCCAGATGGATTAAAGACTTAAACATAAGACCTGGCACCATAAAAACCCTAGAAGGAAATCTAGGCAAAACTATCCAGGACATAGGAGTAGGCAAGGACTTCATGAACAAAACACCAAGAGCATTGGCAACAAAAGCCAAAATAGACAAATGGGACCTAATGAAACTCCACAGCTTCTGCACGGCAAAAGAAACAGTCACTAGAGTGGATCGGCAACCAACAGAATGGGAAAAAATTTTCGCAGTCTACCCATCTGACAAAGGGCTGATATCCAGAATTTACAAAGAACTCAAGCAGATTTACAGGAAAAAAACAAACAAGCCCATTCAAAAGTGGGCAAAGGATATGAACAGATACTTTACGAAAGAAGACATATATGAGGGGAGTATATATTTCTATATATCCTATTAGTTTTGTACCTTCAGAGAACCCTGACTATATATATGAGCTAATTAAGGAGTATTGACCCTCACGCTCATGAGGTAAAGTCCTACAATAAGCCATCTACAAGCTAAAGAGCAAGGAAGTCAGTCTGAGTCCTCAAACCTCAAAAGTAGGGAAGCAGACCGTGTAGCCTTCAGTCTGTGGCTGAAGGTCCAAGCACCCCTGGCAAGCCACTGGTGGAAGAAGTCTGAGTCCAGAAGCTGAAGAACCTGGAGTCTGATGTTCGAGGACAGGAAGCATCCAGCACGGGAGAAAGATAAAGGCCAGAAGACTCAGCCAGTCTAATCCTTCCACATTCCTCTACCTGCTTTTATTCTAGCAGAACTGGCAGTTGATTAGATGGTGCCCACTCAGATTGAGGGTGGGTCTGCCTCTCCCAGTCCACTGTATCAAGTGTTAATCTCCTTTTGTAACACCCTTGCAGACACAACCAGGAACAATACTTTGCATCCCTCAATGCAATCAAGTTGACATTCCATATTAATCATCCCAGGTATAAAATTATTTCTTCCTACATTTAGGTAATCTGAGAGAAAGATGTCCTGAATACAGTTAAAGATTCTATGGTACAGAGTGTCTAAGGTAGCAACTCTAATATCATGAAACTAGTGGATAGTTGGTATTGAAATTTGAGTCAAGGTGATTGAATGTCTGATTTGATTGATCAGCAAACCAATGCTTCATCTAACAGTTGATATTTCTTAAATCTATATGAATTGATTTATTAAGTATTTATTTGATATTTACTATTGATATGTGCACTTTCACCATTTATAGACAGGATTATATTCTTAAATAATTTACCATGCAAGGGAAGAAAACTAGGTACATCATTAAGTTTAATGCAAGGTATAATACACTGAGATAATTAAAATTGCTATGCATGTTAAGAGGACAAGAAGTTAAAATGACTAAAATTTTTGGAGTACATTACTTGGCTTAAATTGCGTGATCATGTAAATGTATCACATCAGTTCTGATGGGTAAATTTTATTATTCTCTCTTCTAGATGAGATCACTGAGAGTGAGAACAGCTAAAGTTGGCCCAAAGTCACACAGCTGGTGTAAGGCAGAGCAGCATCTAAATATCCTGGACTAACTTAAAAGCTAGCGTTCTTAAACACTTTTGAATCTACTTCCACATCCAGGCAGTGGAGGAATTAAAGGCCTAATGAGATTGGTAGTATTTAAAATGATGTATTAAAAATGGGTAGATTTTTCATAGAACCATAGAATTTCATAGATGAATGGGGCTTTTTGACATTTTCTGTTTCCACCCCTTTGTTTTACAGATGAGATCAAGATAATTGTGACAAGCAGAGATATGTAGAAAGATGAGACAAAAAGTATATTTTTTGCAGGGGAAGTAGCATAAACAATTGTACAGGTCTATTAGAGAAGGTTGGTATTTTGAAGTAAAATTGGGTAGATCAATTTGACTGAAATATAGTCTATATATATGTAATTGGTAGAATACAAGACTGGAAATGATGGTTGTGGCTAGAAATTGAAGCCTCTGAAAATGACTGGCAGAGGAGTTTATAAATGAATCAGTAGGCAAAAACCGAAATTACTTTTGCACCAACCTATGAGGTTGTAATCACTGAGAGCTTAGAATTTAGGAGAAGTGTAAAGCGAAATAGATAGTTTTGTGAGTTGGTTAATACAGGTGCCATTTGAAGTTTGAGGGGTTGATAAGAATTGGAAAGAGTTCTAGAAGAGAAGAAAGCAAGGAAATGAACTTAAATGCTTTAATTTGAAGAAGAAAAAGAAATTGGAGGAAGAGGAGTAGAAAGAATAATAACATGAAAATCTTGTGGCAAGGTGAGAAAGAACAACATGAGAAATAGATGGGGAATTAGAAACTGTCTTACAAAGTAAAAATATGAAAAGTTCTATCTGCAAATCTAGATTGCTATCATGTGCAGACTATATCTCATTATTCTACATCTTATGATATATTTAAATGAAGTATTAACAGCTATGTAGCTTGAAGTTCAGCTAAATAAACTAATGTAACTTAGCTTAGCATGTGTCAGAGTCTGTGGTGGAATCTGGAGATAAGAGTCTGAACGTGGTGCAATTTCAAACCTTTGCTTGTTCATTCTACACTATCTACCTAGTGAAACAGACAGTAACACATCATAGCTGTTCGTTTCAAATGGAAATGCTATAGCAGAGGTCTGTAAAGGATTTGTGTAAAAGCAAGATTATCCATGCGGTCTGTGAGACATATGTTCATGGAATGATAACCACTGATACCATTCAGAAGATGGTTCAGAGGAGATCATAAAGAAGAGGTGGGCTTTTGAGAAAGTGAATTTTATTACAGACAGAAATAAAAAGTTCTTCAGTATATTGCAAGGAAGTTTATGACTCAATAATAGGAAAGTAGTAAATGTGAAGCTAGAAAAACAGACAAGAGCTGGAACATTGGGGACATTGGGAGTTATATTCAGAATTCAGCTTTAATTCTATATAGAAATGAGTATTGTAGAATGGATTTAAATAGAACTTCACATAAACAAATTGACATTTTTAGAAAGACCATTTTACAGGCAGAGTTCAGGACAGATTATAGATAAATGACATCAGAAATATAGAGGCAAGGCACCTGCTCAAGCAGTCATAGCAGTCACTGGGTGAGGGAGGTAATAATTTAGAACTATAGCAACAGTGGGATTAAGAAGCAAAATATTTACTGTAGTTAGAGAACAGAAGTTTTATACTTATAAAAGATGGACTTCTGTATGAGTCATTCAAACATAATAACTTGCAAGTGTGAGTTAGGGAGTATACACATGTGTTGTTGCATATTCTAGACATTTATATTGTTGGGGAAATATTTGTCAGAAGTGAAGATTAAATCTCAATCCAGGGCATCTATTTAAAAAGTTTATCTGTAATAATGTGAATATTATTTTTGGAGGAAATATATCAAGTTATACAAGAAATGTTACCAAGTGACTTGTAACTCTCTGGACATGTCCCATGTGTTACTGAAGTGCTGTTTGATCATGGGAGGCAGAGCCTCCCTGTCCGTAGTTAAAGCGCGCTCTCCCTCTCTCTCTTTCTCTCTCTGAACAGAAAAGTATGTAGAATTGATTCAATGAACTTATTGCACAAATAACATATTGTTGTAGTACATTTAAAATTATTTGTAGCAATAGATGGTATCAACATAATATGAATAATGAATGCATGCTAAATGCAGGTCTTTTTTACTGAAGTCAGCAGAGTCTTGAAGGTCAGTTTGACATACCTAAGTTAGTACATGTGATTCAATTTAATAAAAACTCATTGATCTCTTTCTAGGTGCCAATCATTACACTAATACTGGGACTATAGAGGGGGTCACAGAAGAAGACAGACTCAGCAAATTATAGCCAGGATGTAAACCTATCCATTAAATTAAAATCGACTGGGAGATACATTATATATCTCTCTTTACAGAGAAAAAGATGCCAAGTATCAACTCTAGAGATGATTCTAAAATCTAATAACCAATTAGGATTAGTAATTGTATTAATATCTCAGAACTTCCTAGCAGACAGAGATTCTAACAGAAAATATTCACATTTATTGAATTAGAAATATATGTTATTTGCTGTGCTGAATGAATGTGAACATACATTCCAAAACTTAAGCTTGCTGCGGTAAATATATTGAGACAGAATATTACCTTTTAACCATATTCATGCTCTGTTGTATTTTGCTTTTACTGTTTGTAAGTAAAGATTAATTCTTTATTCCAATATTCAGAATGGAGAACAAGTGCAGTACATAAAGTTTAGAAGCGTAACCACTGAAATAAGCCACAGCTTTACTCCGAGTTGTTGGGTCTCCCTGAGTCTTGTTTAGTTTCTCTTTTTCCTCTGATTTTAATGGGATCTAAAATATCCACACAAGTACTTACATGGATAAAGAGAGAATTCTGATTTTTGACACTTTTATCTGTCAAGGAGATAGAATCCATTCAGTTAACTTTCATTTCTCAATGTTAAAGAGGGGGTAAGTATTTTTTTTTAAGTTTTAAT